TGTCCACCTTACAGGCAGTAAAACACGCTGTAAGAATACAGCAGCTCCTGTACAAAAATCCCCTGTACTACGGTGTCCCCAGCAGGACAAACATGTAAGAATTGTAGTGATGCCAAGCAATTACAGAAAGCAACAGCGACATCCTGTGGAACATTTAGGCACTGCGTTACAGTATCTATGAAATGTAACTCTGAGTGACTAAGATCTGAGCTCAGACTTAAACCTTCTATTCCTATTTGGGTAGAATCCTTTCATGATGATATCGGCATCTCATCTAGAATAAAATATTAATATATTTTGGACCAGTCACAATTTGTAAAACAATTATTTATATACTATTCATATTTCTCTCCAGTTTTTGTCTTTTTGTTGTAAATAATCTATTTTTATTCTGCACGTATGTACCTACGTATAGGTTCAGGCACGCTATAAGGTGTCTAAAGTGTTTTCTACTTTACATCAAAGTTGCCCCTCATAGGCCAGGTCTATAAACTTTAAGTGCAAAGAGGGAATTATGGGGTGAGTTACCCTTTATGACTGACTTTTCATCTTTTATCGTCGAGCAGTTCGGAAACCAGCGCTTGGCCACACCTGGAAGTTCACAGCCTGCGTTGCGGCCTTGGCCATCGCCACCTGCGCCCTCATCCTTGCCGCCATCAAGGGACCTTCATGGTACAAACGCTTCCACAACTACAGGCATCGGAGGCTGTACGACGACAACGACGAAGACGAGAATGTCCCGGCGGTATTCTCTGAGACGGGGGGGCACGGCGACCTGCAGACCTTCGTGTTTGAAGAACTGAGTCATCAGCTGGAGGAGGAAGACGGGGGCGATGGATACTTTGAGGATCCGTACATCAGGAGGGCAGACGACCAAGACGGAGAGATTCTAAGAGGGGATATCTAACTAAACCAGATCTATAGTTTCTAGATCTGTAAATTACATTAAAATATTTTAATCTGATTCGTATGTGGAATAAGCTAGTCGTTTAGTTTCTCTATACTGTGAAGAATTAAGGTTTTTATTAAACCTTCTGGTCGTCAGAGAGCAGAGGGTCCACTGAGCCACAGGGTTATGAGGAGATAACCCAACATCAATATTTATTACATCTATTATCATCACAGGGTGGAAGGGGATGATATGGAGGAATTCAAGCATTTCAAAGACAGAGGGGGGTGTTCAACCTCATTTTTCAAGGGTTGGTGTCCTGCATGTTTTAGATGTTTTTACGCAACTAGTGTAGATTCTTCCTAAGCTTCATTGAGCCACAAATAAAACCCAAAATTACCTTTATGTCCAAACCTCTGAAACAATAAAACAGTCTACAGTCGGTGGATTCATGGTAAAGAGGTTACTGACAGAAAATCAGCCAGTTGGGTCGGCCATGTTGGTGACGGAGAGGTTACTAGGTACAGCCCCCCCATCAGTGTCTACTGATGTTCTAGAAAATACCTTTTCTTGCTACATGCAATCATCTGGACTTCCATACACACACGTTTTGTTACCAACCAGATTAAATGATTAACGCAGCAGAACTTTATTGTATATCAGGAATGATTGGATTAACCTGAATGTTAACTGGATTGAAATGGTATGAATTATTTTTATTTTTATATAAATTTCTATATAATTTGAAATAAGTTTGAACAGATTGTCTTGAGATGAGAGCCGCTGTAAATTGTTGCTGTATAAAGAAACTGAATGGAACCCAGACTACATGTCAGCTATCATCATTTTCTTCTATTATATTTCTCCTAATCGCCCAGCTGGTGTCTAACAGAACAGCTTTTCCCCAACTTTCCACTCCTTTTTGCATAAAAGCTTTAACATTTGCAAAGTAACAGAAAATACTGCCAAATCGGGAAGAAGAAAAAAAAGAGAGCAATGTATTTATTATTTCTTGTTGGTTTAATGAAATTTTAACAGATAAACAGCTGAGGCAGAAATTAGGCAGGAATCCAAAAATCGTAAAATCAAAAACATGAAAACAAGGTCAAAGAAACCAGAAACTATGGAGACATCAGGGGGGAAACCATCATGAGGAGGAGGACTCAGAGAGACTGAGCTGGAGGAAGTTAGACAAGGAACCAGCACTGAGGAACTGAACAAAAAGAGTATTTATGGGAGACTAACTAAGATAGGACTAATGAGCAGATTGGGAGCAGGTGTGAACAGAGCAGAACAGGAAAGGAGCTAGGGAAAAAGGAGAACACAAGAGGGCAGCAGAGGGCAACAAATAAAAACCTGAAAACTGAAAATAACCAGAAAACACAAGAAAATAAGAATAAAACAACTAAAACTAGAAGACATGGAATAAAGTAAAAGAGAATACACAAAAGAAAACATAACAGAACCAAGACTGTGACACTAGCAGAATACTTGAACAGGTGTTTTATATGTTATTTATCAGTAGTGCAGTGGGTAGCACTGCTGCCTTGCAGCAAGAAGGTTCTGGGTTCAATTCCTGGCTTAAGGTCTTTCGGCATGGATTATTCATGTTCTGGGTGGAGTATTCATGTGTCGGTTCTCTCTGGCTTCCTCCCACAGTCCAAATACATGACTGTCTCTAAATTCTCCTTAGGTGTGAGTGAATGGTTGTATGTCCAGTGTGTCTCCGTGTTGCCCTGTGATGGACTGGTGACCTGTCCAGGGTGGACCCTGCTTCTTGCCCATTGACTGCTGGAGATAGACACCAGCCCCACTCGGGACAAGCGTGTAAGATAATGGATGGATGTTTCTATGTTCCTTTTGTATCTCTGCTTCTGTCTCCTTGAACCCCAGTCAGCCTCAGCAGATGGCCGCTCAAACTGAGCCTGGTTCTGCTTGCTGTGAGGATTGCTGCAGAGTTAATGACAAAATGCAAGTTAATATAATCTTTATACACTGATCCAGGAGGAGTGAATCCTGTAAAGTCAATGAGTCGATGCAATCATCTGGTTTTCCTTAGATTGAAAACTTTGAATCAGTTTAACTGGATGATCTGGTTGAATTTTCTCTGTAAAGGGCTTGAGGTGAAATGTGTTGCTAAGAATTTAACTAAACATTGCATCTTTGCTATTGCACTACTGTATTGTACTGCAAAATGTCTTTTTTTGGACATTACAATATTTTAGTATGTAAAAAATTGTAGTATGTAGTAAATGCAGTAAATGTGGTATGCAAATTTTCCTGCCATTTGTTTCCTGTAATGGTGTCAAGTTCTATAAATCTAATATGGCTGAAACATTGACGATTACAGGTCTGGTCTGGTATGGCGCATGCTTCCATCTGAAGCCCTGTTGTGTCAAATGGAATC